GGGCCGGGCAGAGCAGGGATGGGGGGGATGGGGGAGTGGGTGGGACCCAGTGGGGTCCCCCCCATAGTCCCTTCCCCCATCCTCCAGCCGCCCCCCGACTCCTTACTTACTGGCACTGGGGCCCTGGTGCTGAAGCAGCTGCCTGCTCTGCACAGGCAGGTCGCGCGCTTCAGCACCAGGGCGAGGGGCCAACTAGAGAGACGCTCTGGCGGCCAGAGTGTCTCTGTGGAGGACCCAGCCTCTGGTTGCCTCAGGGCATGTTCCAGGACTGTGTCCTGACCTGCTTTTTTAAACATGGGTTTTTTTAGACTCCTGGGTATCCAGGGGTCTAATTTTCTCCCTGCACTGCAAACTTGCAATGCGGGAAACTTTTTTTCATTCCCGCATGTGCCTTGTGCCATCTCAAAGGGGTTTCAGACGGGGCAAGAGGCATGTGCATGCTCATCTGGACGCACCCTTTTGGGTACTAAATTTGTAGTTAGCAGCCTGGTTTCTAATCTTTTGCTTAGTTTTCTTTTTATTTCTTTTTGTTTTATTTCTAACCATTTGTTCTGCACCTCTTTGCTTTGAATCTTTATCTCCTCATTTTTCCCTTTCTTGCTCACCACCACACTCTGTTAGGACTGAAGATCAATAAGCAAAGTACTACCAAATCAAGTACTACTACTGCTGTACATGTGCTGTGGGTGTGGAGCTGAGCCCTTCTTTCTGCCACCCCAATTCATCTCCTTCCACTTAGGTGTCCGAGAGAGAAAACAAAATCCCATCTTGTGTCAGGTGTTTTCTCCACCATACAAGTCACCTTTAAGGTCCTCTTGGTTGGGAACTGCATACTTCAAAGGCAAACCTTGAAGGGAAGAGACTTTTTCTAGAGTCAAGTTCTATAAACTATAGCTCCCTGATTTTTGTTCCAGGAATCGATTCCTGTGCTGTATTTATTGAAAAAGCTAGGTTGAAATGCAATTATGGGGACTGTTAATACTACCCTTTAGCTGTTTTGTTTCATTTTGATGTGAAGGCCAACGCTTTGCACAGATGGAAGAAAAAGCTGTTTTGGCTACTCTCCTGCGCCACTTTTGGGTGGAAGCAAATCAAAATAGAGAAGAACTTGGTATGGTGGGAGAACTGATTCTTCGTCCAAATAATGGCATCTGGATCCAGCTGAAGAGGAGAACTGCTCACATGTCATGAGAAGAAAGTTTCAAGAGTTTAGATCTTCAAGTATACTAGCAGCACCCTTATTTCGCTTTCTCCTTTTGATCACATGCACATTTACACAAAGGATTTTAGAAAACTACAAATACAGCAAAATATTTCAGAACTTCTAGATCAGCCATTCTCAGTCAGGGTGCCATGGCACCCTAAAGTGCATCAAGATCCTTTTAAGGGTGCGATGGGGTGCCATGATGTTAGCACTGTTAGGTTTACCAGATTCACTAGATAAACCCAGACATTTCAAATAGAAATCCAGAGTTATGATCTTTCCAAGTTCTTTGCATCAGAAAAACTACTTTACTATGCAGCCAAAAGAGAGTGAAAGCTAAGAGCTGGCTTTTTCTGACAGGTGCATTGAGTCTATCCAGGAGTACTTCAAGTCTTTCCAGGGGTGTGTTGAGTCTAAAAAGGTTGAGAACCACCACTCTAGGTCTTCTTAAAATATTCAAAGCAACGCTCATGATATGATCGTATTGCCCCCATTCAGATGGCAAGATTTGAAAAGTTATATTGACATCTTAAACATCTTGCTTAGCACTGTCCTGGCATCTTACATCACCTTTTATGAGAGTACTATTTATATTGCTCTGTGAGATGTTCAGCTGACTGACTTCTCATGTGTTTTGTGCTCTAGTTCAGTTGTTTTTTTTGTGAAGGATACTGAGGTGGTCTTTTGAGTAGAACTGGCTGAAAGCAGAGTTTGTATTCAGTGAAAAATTTGGGTATTTCAAAATTTAGTTCTGTCCTGAATCAAACTGCAAATCAGAATTTCAGAAGTTTTCAGTCTCCTAATGACTATATATCTTACATAACCTTGACAAGCCAAATTCAGGAGATTTTGAGAATTTGGAAACGCCTGAAATGAATGTTCTAGATTTCATCTCGCTATCAGCTTAGTTCTACTGACTTCATTAGAGCTATAGGAGTTAAGCACGTCCCCAGTGTATTTAGTCATTTTTTGTCCTATAACCCTCATATTTGGATTATTCTGTTTAATTCACTCAGCAATTTGTCCCATGAGCCATGTTCTCTCCCACAGAAGTTTATTCCTACTGGCTTCTATAGATTTATGCCAGCTGAGAACAGAAACAAATATTGATAGACTGAAGACCCACTGAAAGTAAATATTAAAGTGAAGCAAACATTGCAGGCAGTCACATTTAACACAATTTGAGGGGGGCTTTATATTGTTTAGTGCAGACTGTACCTAGGCAGAATTAGTCGCACAAGTGTGGTTATTGTACTTTCAGGTAAGTTTCAATATTTTAATAGCTATCAAATCAGAGACTTTTAGTATGCAATGTCCAATCTCTTTACAGACTGCATTATGCAGTTAAGGTAAACATTCTATGGATACTCCTAAAACTTGCAACAAAATGTTTTTAGAAGTGACAAATTTAAAACTTATTTTGTATGTGTATTTTATTAGTAATGCTGGGATTGCATACTTTATTAGATAGACAAATTTTATATAGGAAATAAATTACTAGTGGGAGACAGTGACTTTGAAAATATTGAAATTTAGAAGTGATCCAGATTTGACTGTTAGTTTAATGAAGCATAAATCGAGAATAACTCTAGTGGATGTTAGAGAAGAATTTTCCTAGTATTTGTAAATTAAAATAATTTTTGCAGTCATGAGTACAGGATAAACCCTCTTCTGTTAATGTATGATACTGTATGTCTGGAACCTCTAGGTTTTCAACTGTTTTGTATACCTGTACATGTAATTAATGGGCTTTATGACAGAGAAATCATATGTAAATTGCCCAGTGATGCATCTGTATTTTTCTTTATGACTAATTGTACCAAATTTATTAAACATGTCCTAAAGGAAACTTTCATGTATTCATTTTTTAGGATGGTTTGGATTTATCAGACCTTTAATTTCATTTTCTTAATCACTTCAGTTTACAGTGGTAAGTTTATGTATATTTTCTATACTGTATACACAGAGTAATAAATAGGGTTACCATATGTCTGAGTTTTCCCTGCCCCTCTGGTGGGGAAGGAGGTGGGAGGGCCCTTCGGGGGCAGTGGGGAGCTGCATGGCCAGGCTGGTGGCACCGGGGCTGGTGGCCTTGCTCACAGGGGTGGGGCAGCCAGGAGATGCTGCAGGGCTGGGGGGAACGGGGCTGTGGGTTAGGAGTGAAGGGGATCAGCAGGGATGGTGGGGGCTATAGGTTGGGAGTAAGGGGCACCAGCATGGTCTTGGGGGGCAGAGTATTGCACATCAGGAGTGAGGGGAAGCAGCAGGCTTGAGGAGACTGTGGCTTGGGACTGAGAGGCTGGGGTAGGGCACAGGCATATCATTGATTTCCCCCAATCATATTGCCCCCCATGTCTTCATTTTTGAAACTTGAAATACGGCAACCCTAGTAATAAATATCATGTACAATTAAAGGGGATGATATTTATGATAGCCTAAATATGGCAATATGTGAACTGAGAGACAGATTTGGATATCTTAGGCATACTGGGTTCATCTACACGTGTGCTTTACTGCGGAGTTGACTAATTAGCTCCATAGTAAAGTGTCACTGTTTACACATGCGCCGGCACTAGGGCACATTAAATTAATTAACTTTGGCATAAAGTAGTACTGTCAGGGACAGTAGTATCTTAAAGCTGAGTCATTTACTGCACAGAAAGCATGTATAAATGGTGACTGGGACCATGGCAGTTTGAGCTGAGGCGGAGCAGCCCCAGGCTGGCTGCAGGCTCGGGAGGTCAGTCACATGGCTCCACACTTTGAGCACTCTGCTGCCCAATGCCACCACTCAGAACCTGGGTCTTACCCCCTGAGCCTGCTGCCACCCTGGGACTGCTCTGCTTTGGCTCAAACTGCTGGGGTCCCAGGCACATGTGGAACTGCTGAGCCCGGGAATAGCTGAGTTCGGTGCAAACTGTGCCAGAGTTTATTGAGATTGCATGGGTAGATGTGCCCACTGAATAATAGCCTACTGCATGATAAGTCTACTGATTTTAATGGAAACACTGGCCTTGAGTCCTGGGCCCGGTTCTTTTCTGTTCTTTTGCACTGGTTTAGGTTATGTGTATGTCCAGTGTAACACCATTGTTATGAAACTAGCACGAGTTTTTAAGAATCGAACACAAGATTGTCAGCTACAGCTGTGGATGCAGAGTTCATTTCTTGTTAGTTTGCCTATAACCTACTTTTATGCTTCCATTGTCCTCGCTTAGCCTATCACCCTTGGTAAGTTAGAGCAACCTAAAGAGCAACCTAAAGATTGGCATTCAGCACAAATTACAGCAAAGTGTCAATATGGCAGCAGACTGCAAGTGAACTCCGGTCATGGCTCTTTCCCTTCATCCTTATTCTACAGTGGAGAATAGCAACATAGGGCATTTATACACGAGCTCTGAGAGTGGGTGGGAGGTACTTTAATCAGAGCGGCTCTTGGAGCGCTCTAATTAAAGTGCTCATTCAATGAGCTTTAGATAAAATGCCCCTGCTGCAATTTTGAAGCATGGGAATGCTGATACATGAGATGTGGGAGGCTGCTGGAGCACACAAATTGCCATATTCCAGCAGACTTGATTAATCAAGTCTGCTCTGATGTGTTGAAATTCCAGGGCATTGGAACAGCCTCCCTGCTTATGTATAGCACCCATAGGTACTACACAGCTAAGCAGCCATAGTGAAGAAGAAAAACTCAGCATAGACACCAGCAATTTGCATTTAAAAAGCCTTGGTCTTATTTCCACACTGATTTGTATGCAACTGTTAAGTGTTAGGAAATGTTTGAGAAAATGGTTCAGGCCATCAGAAGCAAACTTATAACATTTGCATATTATTAAATAGAAAAGTCTATCATTAGAAATGTGAATAACTCTGAAAGTGTCAGTTAAGGTTCTGCAGAATTATGTTAAAAAACTAAAAATTAGTCATCATGGGAAAGTAAAACCAGTGTACATAGTTCAATGTCAGCATATGTTAATGATTTACTTTGTTGGATTTGCAAAACCAATTTGCAAACATTCCACCATATGTCCATGATGTCCTCTGTGCCAGTAAATTAAGCTAAATACCTAAGGCTGTTTTATGTTTTTTAATGTACTGAGTCTTCTCACACAAAATGCAATTGGATAAAACATAGTTTAACAGGAAAAGATTAATGGATTAATATATATTTTTTTATATATGCATTATTCAGAGAGCAAGGTTGATAACACAGAAGCCTTACCTTTATCTAAAGGCCATGGAATCAATGTGTTCTACTAATTTAGAATTCTTGAGGCAGAAAAATAGTTTTCAAACTATCTGTATGGAGGTAAATAATCTTTGGAATATCTAATTCATAAGAATTTTGCATGGTTCTCATTTCATAAATCTTATTAAATGTTTAATGTCAGAGAAAATAATATTTCTTTTTGTGACAAAGTTAAGGAAAGTAAGTGCTAGTGATGATAATAAATATCTCTATCTTAAAGAAAATTAGTATGGGTAAATAACATGAATAAGTCACAAGTGCTTCTCTTCCATAAATAATAAGGTGCACGCCTTTTTTTCAACATATTGTAAAAAACTTGCAAATAAACCATTTTTTTTGTAAAATGAAAGCAAAGTTAATGCAAAAAATAATAATTAGAAACTATGTCTAGTGTGTGTACTATCAAATAAGTGAGCAAACAATGAAAGTAAAATATTTCACTGGAATTTCCTCCCAGTTGATACAGAATAAAAAAATTTCTCTAGTCCATTTCATTCTTCTAGCTAAGAAAAACCCTTTACATGTACCAATGTATAAATAGCCATACTTCTCACCATTTTAGAGGGCAAAATAAGCAGCATCAGTGCCATGGCAAGGAAGCTTGGTTCCTGGGACAAAGCCCTTAGTGGCATCCTGCCCTCATCCCATGCACAGATCTAGGGGGCACACACCTCCCCATGCTTACCTGGGAGTGCACACAGCAGTGGGAGCCACCCTCGCCCCATCCCCATGGCCCCCCAAATGTGCCATTTGCAGCTCCATCCATCCTGCCCCAGCTGGGCAGCACCTGTTTGTGCCCCTTGTTTGGTGCTCGGGTGGTCACCCTGCTTGCCCCACACCTTGCTATGACACTGAGCAGGATAATTAATGAACTCCTAAACCTGGACAGCCTGTAAATATGTCTTAAAATTGGTTCTTTTAACTTCAAAACATGAACACATTGCCGCTTAGAAGCCTTTATTCTCTTCATAGATGCAGTTAATTTGATGCAAGAGATTACAGATGTGCTTGAAGTTGTGCACCTGCACAAGTCCTGATGTATTCTGCTATTCCTAAGAGTTTGCTCTTTCTCTATCCCCTTGATTAGCATTTAATTCTCCATTTATAGAGTATTTGTCCTTGTGAAGCAGGTGGAGCTAGATCCTGGGTGGAATAAGAAGAAATAGAAGATTTATCAGAGATTTGGGTCCAATGAAACAATGCAGTTTTCCACTATCTGAGGATGTGTTTTCAAAATAAAATTGCCCTGCTCCAGAATTGTGAGCTTAGGCATGCTGCAGTGCTGTGTCGGCTGCTTCCTAAACTAGAAACAGGGTAGTCACATGCGCAAAGTACTCCTGGCAAGTAATAAGCACTGTGCCTATCCCCAGACTAATGTGCATTTCCGCAGATGCAACTCCACTGCTCTGGTTTAGGAAGTTGCCTTCCTAGAGCTGTGCAATATGCTTAAAGATATTGACCTGGAGCAAGGTAAGTAGGGTGCCAGGTACACAGGGCACATCTACATACGACACCTTAGTGTAAAGTGGACTTTTCTACTGTGCGTTAGTGTGTCATGACAAAAACCATGCTAATACACAGTAGAATTAGTCTACTGTGCATTAAGCATCACAATTAATGAGCCTTTATCTAGCGCCTTTATCTAGTACCTCATGTTAAAGGTACTAAACCTGACGCCCAGAAACAAAGGCATATTAATGAACTTTTAGATATGCCCACAGCCTGCCTTCTCCCTTATACCCCACCATGATCCCTAAGGTCAATGGAAAGCAATCACAGGCAAGTTCCATCAATGCATCAATTCCACTTGGCAAAAATACATGGAAGTTGTTGCTCCTAAGTTCTGGAACTCCCTCTCCTTTGAGACCCAGCAGATCTGAAGCCTCAACATGTTTCAGAAGCTCTGTGTCTTTAGCACCACATACTGCACATTCAGCTGTTCTCTGCACTGCAAGGGAGCATCCGGGGCGGGGAAGGGGGGGGAATATCCAGGGGTAAAATAAAAGATGTGCAGGAAAAAAAAAGGGAAGTGCACAAAACCAGAGCCTGGCCAGCCAGAGCCACACACTGGCTGCTGGCCAGGTTCTGAGCAGTAGGATCGCCACTGCTGCAGCCCCAGGAGGACCCCAGGTAAGGCTGCTGTGGCCAGCCCAGTGCTGGCCCCAACCTACCCTACCCCACCCAGGGTAATTTGCCGCATGCCAGAAGGCACATGGCACAGGCGTTCTCCAGGGACAACTAGCAGCGACACAAGGTGTGCCACTGCTAGTTGTCCCCGGGGAACCAAATGTCAATGCTTGTGTGGACGCAGCCTACAGCTTTACTAACTCTCTATCTCTCTGTATTTCTTTCTCTCTTACACTCTGTATTTTTTTCCATCCACATATTCCTTTGGATGTTTTTCCACACTATAATCTCTCAAAAGATGTCTCTACCATTCTTGAAATCCAGCTTGACCTTTTCATGCCAGAATTTTCTTCCTTTCCTCTCAGCAGTTCTCCATCTGCAGTGTGGAAGGCAGTAGCATCCTCCCTGTAAAAACTTTAGACTCTCTCTGCCTTGCCAGCCAGGCCTACCTTCTGTGAAACAATATGCTGCACAGAAACTTCACGCTAGATTTGGGAAGGCAGAGAGCACAGGTTAAGGTGGGAGAGAGCTTCAGGAGAGGCTGTACAGCAGTAAGGAGACAGCAGGATTTTAGTGAGAAGGAGACCTGCCTTATATCCTTTCTTTGGTCAGCTTCTTGTCTGTAAGAGTCAGTACCTGACATAACACAAGCTAATACCTTTCATTATTCCATGTCAGAATGCATGACTCAGATCTATGAAAACACGTACTTCCAAGGAGGCGATGTAATGACAGTTTTTACACCAAATGTCAATTACTGTCAAATTGTGTGTACTTACCATCCGACATGTCTGTTGTTCACTTACCTGCCACCAACTGGAATTCAGGACCCTACAAAAAGGTAACGTCTTCAAAAGCTAAGTTTCACGTGATGTGTAATGTCCATTAGGCAGTCAGCACTGCTCCATCCATGCAACGTCTCAAAAAAATATATAATGTATTACCCTGGTTTCCCCAGGCAGAAGGTAGGGTAGAATGTCAGCTTAGAGATTAAGTGGTTCAGAAAAATATGAGCATGCGACAACCTACTTTGTCAGAAGCTGTCTTACCACAGTTTTACATTTCCTTAGAAATTTATGAAGCTGCATTTCTTAAACCTGGAAAGCTAAGAGTCCCTTTCCTAGTTTGGAGAAATGAAACCCACATGCCTTCAGCTCTACCATGTGTCCTTAAAGGATTGTTCATTTTAATTCATACATCTTCTGCTCTTCACTTCCTTTCCATATCTAACCCATCCCATCCACCCTCTCCCTCACTCTTTGGGAAGTGATACTAGCCATACCAGTAAGGTTTGTGGCCAGAACTGTACCCTCAGAACTATTGAGCCTTGAGAGTATTTTTTCCTCCCAGAGGGCAAAAGACCTCCTGGAACTCCCATGGAGGTGGTATGGTTCTGAACTGCTTCTAGTTGTATGTGAATGTAATGTGGGTAACAGCAGGTGGAGCCAGGGAGTAGTCTGCAGAGCTCTGCTGACTGTTAATGTGGACTTCAAGTCCCTCAAACCCCCAGGGGATGGGGGACAAGGGAAAAAAGAAGAGGAAGCTTGAGGCTGCAGTAAGGGGAAGAGAGCAGTGTGCACATGGAACCTGATCAGCCCTATGTAGAGAAGTGCACCGTGGAGCTGGAGATCTCGCTGGCTCGGTCATCCAGGACTGTGGACTGAAGGAGCTGGACTCGCACCTGGGGGTAGCTGCAGGCTGCTATTTGAGCTCTAGGGAGTAAAGGGGACACCTTCAAAGGTATAGGGAGGGGGTGGAGATTAAGGTGCTGGGTGTATGTTACCACAGTGTTGATGTTTCTTTACCTTTTACCTGTTCCCTCCTTTGGCCTGTTGGCTCATGACCCTAACCCCTATGATTTTCTGTATGAAAGTGGGAACTCCCCCTTGCTTCTTGTGCCAGTTTCTGGGGTTGCATGGTTGGCACAATGTGAACTCTGTTATCTACAAAGCACAATTTATTCCCAAGACAGATCTTTAGTTAGGCATTTCAATGCTGTGGAACTGCATTAAGCCCACATTTCCTTATCCAAGAACACCTTCTCTCCTGGAAAAGTGTCAGAAAGTCTATGCTATGAAACTAATTGCTGCTATAAGCCAGTTGTAATTCTTGCACCACTTCAATAGTGCAAAGGAAGCTGAGGATTTGGCTCTGAAAGCATGTTTTGCCCTTTATGCTTGAAAATATAACTACAAACAATCTGTTTTCTCATGAGGTTGGGCTTTTGGTGCTAATGTTAACTGTGTACTGCTAACTTTTGAACACAGGTTTACCTGCTACTTGAAAGACAGTAAGACTGAAATATTGCCAAAGGTGCACATGGATGGTGCAATTTCTGGACATTCCTTAAAACAATGCCACGCCCAAATTAGTGGTAAGATATACTTATTCAAGTATATGCATCTCTTTAAAAATATATAAAAGCTTTCAGTGTACTATATTTCAGACTAGTCAGTGGATAAAGGCATCACTAAAATTAACTGGTTACATCATCAAGATGTCAATTTAAGTACAACACATTTGGCACATATATGAGAATGCATTTATTACATCTCTTCTTTTATAAAAACCCCGTTATATTGAATTGAACAGCCTGATAGATATGAGCATAACAAATCATATTTATTGGAGAATTACCTCTTTATATCATGTTAATGAATACCCTATTATAAACCACTAGGTAAAAAGACAAGCAACATATTCAGTATTCACCATCTTACCGTTTACACCTCTCAGAGTATTCACTGCTTTTATAATGCCCTTGTTGGAGTTATTTAACTCATATTCATAGTTGTAATGGTCTCCAGCCAGCCTACTAGATCTTATTTTGTGGTTACTTTTCATGTTATTCACTCTAATTAGTATCTGATTAAAGCAGCCGGAATCTAAATATGACCCTATGCATTCATGATAAAGGAACAGCTATGGCTGGCTGACAAACATGCTAGATGAACACAACCCCGGTGTTCAATAGGAAAAAATAAACCTGCTTTGGGGAAGATATTTGTTTCAAACTCTGGTCCAAATTCTTTCTTGTAATGTATATAAATAAATCCTGTGACTCTAACAGGACTTGGTTACTGCATCATAGGGTAGCATTTGCTGTTAAAATGCTGGTTTGTGCTTTGTGATTTTTTTGAACGTTAACATTTTTCAGCCATTAATCTAAAAACTACAGGGCTGACACCTCATCAAGGTGACTCAGGGCTCTCATTCTCCTCCACTCCCTTGTCTTGAAATGATAGAGATGCTTCTCTAGAGCCAGGTTCTACCACTCTGACTCATATCACATAACACCTTACTCTGTAGCTTCAATTTTCTTAATGGAACTATATACAAAATAAGGCACTACTGAAAGTGAGGGAGGGATGCAGAATCTGGCTAATCTGCCAGGTTACTTCTGGAACTTCCAAAACAAGAATGTTCCAGCATGCTCTTTTTTTCCCCTCTTATTCCCTACCCAGGTTGCAGCAGGGACATCCACACAGGACTGGATATGCTAGGGATAAATTATAATGTGACTACTGAATATAGCTATCAAGAGTGTCAAAAAAGATGCACCAATGACAACCACTGTCAATTTTTTACATATGCCACAGGAGCATTTCACAGTGCAGGCTTTCGGTAAGTCTTGATCCTCCTTACTGGATAGCAGCACAGTTAGTAATACAGTAATTCATAAGCAAAATTAAAGGAAATGGAAATTATTTAAAGAGATATTTTTCACATGGCATTGTTCTATGTGAAATGTAGATTTTAATCTCAGTTATCTTTTTGTGTTATATTCAAATCTAGAGGTACTGGCATGAAAGGGTCTATAATAATTTGACTTGGATTTATCCTTTGGTAGAAAGACAAATTTTTTTGTTATAGTGCTGGAAAGTCTAAAATACAGTGAGGATGTAAAGAATGCAACTGATACTAGCTGCCATACTGGAGTTAAACAGGAGTTGCCGCTCATCTTTTGCCCATCTGTAAAATAGGATAAAGCTATTCCTTTGTGAATTTCCTAGAAATCTATGAATGAGAAGCACAAGATTAGAACCATACCTTGGTACTGTTATTGTTAGAAACAGATACTTTTATGTTGAAATATTTCATTATTAGGTTATTTTACTGTATATAATAGAAAAAGGAATTAAGAAAACTGTGTGCTTGTTCCTGCTGCACTCTCTGTATGAATGGATCCAGACATTTGCACAGAGCACACCCCTTTCCCCCCACCTTTTCTTCAGTGTTATTCAGTATGATTATTGGAGTCCAAGGTAAAAAAAAAATCATGAGATTTAAAGTTATTATTGAATCTTTGGCATAATTCTAAAAGTCCATTACATCTTTGCTGGAATATTTATAGATGTATTGTTAAATAATAACAATAATAGCACTAACAACAAATCAATAACAAAGACAATAGATGTGGTGATGAGGATGATTATTCATGGGCAATTTTAACAAACATTCTATTCTTCTTTTATAGCTCTATAGTTTCAGTGCCCACCACAAGTGTCTCCTTAGTTAATATGTTAATAAAGAAAGAAATAATTACCCAATTCCATGAACACAGATTTTCTGTTTCACTTCTTTTCTTGTGCATTATTTGGAAAAATTGCATTAAATTTGTTAATATATAACATTTTATTGCTTTCATTTATCAAACAGTATACGGTAATACTTGGGTGTGTCCATTTGCAAATGGACATTTTTATGGTAGTAATATATCAAGTGATGATGAATAACAATGACAAAAATCACTATTTACCTCAAAGGAATACTATGTTGATTAACTGCTATTTGTAAAATGCTATTATATAAAGTGCTAAGCTTCACTAGAATGTAGAGAAAATCCTGTCCTGTGGCTGTAAGTTTTTAGGTCTTAACCTATCAGGTCTATTGTCCCTTTTGTTATTTCGTAGGGCTACTTCAAAATATTGAGTCCAGCTTTAGTGGGTGCTCTGGAACAGTACTTCTCAACCTTTTAAGTACCAAGTACCTCCTAACTTCTGAACATTTTAATAACTACCCCAACACAATTTTCCATTGGATTTTATATTTACAGACTAATGTGTGCCATATGTTGGAAGAAGATCCAGATAATGAGTAGAAAGATGTCATGTACTGAGACATTAGAAACTGCGTAATTAGTAGCTGTACAGTTTTTGGTATGTGAAGCTGGCAGGGCTCAGTGAGATCAGTTCTTGGATAACTTTGCCTGGGCAAACTGCTCACTGCTCTTACCCCATTCCCTGCTAGTGGCACATATGGCATGTACAGGACTTGGTTCACCTGCCTTTGCAAGCACAAAGATGCTATGTGCAGGGGGAATTATCCACTGACCATTTCTGGCAAGATGAAGTCAAAATTAAGTTAAGCTTGTCTGGTGTAAAGACAACTTTGTGGAGAAAGGAATCTGGCCTGTTTCTTACTGAAAAAAAAAGTTTTACTTTTGTCATTCAGTAACAAGTGCTTCTTGAAGTACACCAAAACGGGAACTCCAGCAAGCATAAGAATACTTAATAATGCTGTATCTGGATTCTCATTAAAACTCTGCCAACTTTCTCAAACAGGTAACTATTTAAATCTATATTAATTGAAGTTAGATATAAAGGAAACATGATGATACAGTATGTTTCAATGTGTATGAATATTATATGCAGCATGTAAATAAGCAATAATATAAAATCTTTCTGGGTTGTTTGTTTTAAAATAGTTTTTGGTACTAAAATTCAAATAATGTATTGTTAATCATTTTAACTTTCCTCTTTTATCATTGTGTGATACAAAAACTGTCTTGTGGTTTGAAGATCTAATGAGTTCTCTCCTAAATTTACTTTGGTGAAATTGCAGATTACATTTATATCACAAATAGAAACACTGAATGAGAAAATCCCATCAAAGGCAGTATATATCAGGACTCAAAAAAAAGATGCTGTTTCAAGTAGTGAGCAGTATATTCCATTGGAAACTTGTAATGCAAGCTTAAAAATGATTGTGCGTAAAAATGGGCTATTACGCTCAAATTAGCCCTTGACCTTTTGCAGTCAGGAAGTAAAGGGAAAACTGAACTTTTTTCCCCCAAAATACACAGTAGTTCGATATTTAGTTATGATGGCCCATTGTTGTGGTTTTACAGCTTCCATCAGTGGTTGCTCTCCTTTTATAAGGTTTCAAGTTGGTCTTGACTTTTTTCTTTATACTTAAAATCATTATGCCCCTGTATTATAAGCCTTCACATTGTGAGAAACAAAACATGTATCATTTCACCAAATGCCACTGAAATTTCTTTAATATCAGTGTATTTTTATAGATCTAAATTATGCTTTGACCATGGGCAGATTGAAGAAGGGAGGGGGTGCAGCTAACTTTCCCATTGACTGTATGGCTTGTGTAGTGAGCTGAGTTCACCAGCTTGTCCATGTAGCTCTTGGCTGGAGCTGCCATCTTGGGGTCCTGCTGGAACCCAGTGGCTGAATCCACTGCAGCTTCCTCCTCCTTTTCCCCTGCCACTGAACTCAGCAGTGGGCAGGAGGGGGTTAAGGGGAATGTTCACCCTCTAGGTTCTGGAGCTGCATTGACAAACTGATGACTTTACTGTGCATGTGCTGCATAGCCAATGGGGGTGCAACTGCACCTCACGCACCTCCCCTAGATCTGCCCGTGGCTTTGACTAATTTAAAGGCAAGTTTTCTGTATGCTGTGGGCATCCTGTGACTAAATCTAATGTCCTCTTTGAGGTTGTTCTTGCAGTTCTCTAAGGCAAAACTCTCTAAATTAGCAACCTATGACCGATGGAGCTACTTGATTCAACCTGCAGAGCTGGGGGACTTCTGTGACAGAGAGCTTTTTGTGGGGGCTTGCATGGTGGCTAAGTAGAAGGAAAGAACCATGGTGGTGGCATCGTAGGGGGAATGGTGACTGCAGCTACAGCAGTGACAGCACGGGCTGGGTTGGAAGTGGCCCACCCTCAGAGCTAAACTCCATTAAAACATCCTCTGCTCTAAAGTGTGGCTGACTTCTGCTCTAAACTGCAGGGTCAGACTCTAGGTATTATTCCTTCTTGTCCTCGGTTACAACATCCAGGTTTATACTTTTGTTTAGATTATTTCTCTTCATCATGTTACCTGAGATTATTCTTTCATGTTGGTGATATTGTTCTGCCTCCATGCAGCCTTATCTTAGTTCACAAGTAATGTCTTTAAACCACATGTTGATTTTGTTAATCCGTTTGTTATTGGTCTTCTTAGTATCGCATTACTTTTTCAGATTGTCCCAGTCCCATGATAGGAATCATCTCTGGAAATTATTTTAGAAAACAGTTTAAACACTCTTGAGGCAAAAAATACCAGCAACATTACTTCAGTACTAAACAGCATTGTCCTTAGCTATAATGACACCTACTGGATAGAGAAAATAAAGGAATAATAAATCAAAGTGCACAAGTGAATAAGGAAAAAAGTTTCCTTCCCAGAAATGCAGCAGGAACAGTTAAGGGAAATCTTTCTGAGTGTTTAGTCTAGGCATACATACATATACTGATGTAGGAAAGATTTCCCTGACATTTCAAAAGGTTTCTGACTATTCAAAAGGTTAAAAGTCCTTCTGAACATAGCAGCCTATTGGGCTAGCACACATGGGACTAGCTTTACTCTCTTGGCTGTCTTTGACTTCCCAGCCCAAGTTTTCAGGTACCCATTTACAGATGGATTACTTGGGAGTGACCTTTTGCACAAATCCGTAGCAGGGTTTGAATTTTTGCCTGTAGGGGGCCACTTAGCCACCACACCCGTGCTTTCTATGTATTGCAGGAAATAAATGAAAGATTCATCAAGAGCCACAAAAATTTTAAATGTGAGATTTGTTTTTAAAGATGTTCATGAAAATGATTTCTTGTTTACATCTCTGAAAAGCATAGAACACAAAGGACAACTGTGAAAAAGGATATATATAAATACATATAAATATTCTGTTGCCATCAAAAAATTCACTGGACTCTTGATATATTTTTTTCTCTTTTTATACAGATTGTCGTTTGGACATTTTTCAAGATAAAGAATTTTCAGGAAATAATATTATGAGTGTTTTCACTCCTGATACTTTTGTGTGTCGAACTATTTGTACTTATCATCCAAATTGCCTGTTCTTTACATTTTTTACAAGTGAATGGGAAGTAGAAACACAAAGGTGAATATGACAACTAATATTTTATATTCTAATAATTACAAATATTAGAAATGCTTATGTTAGTTTTAAATAACACATTAAAAGGTGTTAATTTGATATAGTTATCAGAATTCTCAGTGCAGTGTAATTCTCAAAGTACAGATTCTGGTATGTTTTGTCCATGTGTGTATAATTTGCTAGTAAAGTGAGCAAAACACTGGCTTGCATCCATAGATGCTTCTCAAGCAAATCCCAGGACGTCATTCTCCTGTTGTACTTGGCCTTGGTGAGGCCACAGCTGGAGTACTAAGTCCAGTCTTGGGCCCCACAATTCAAAAAGGATGTGGAGAAGCTTGAGAGAGTCCAGAGAAGAGCCACAGGCATGATCAGAGGTCAGGAAAATGACCTTACGATAATAGGGTGAGAGCTATGGGGCTCTTAAGCCTGGAAAAGTGCAGGCTCAGGGGTGATCTGATGGCCACCTATAAGTTTATCAGCGGTGACCACCAGTGTCTGGGGGAACGTTTGTTCACCAGAGCGCCCCAAGGGATGATGAGGTCGAACGGTAAAAAACTACTGCAAGACCATTTCAGGCTGGATGTAAGGAAGAATTTCTTTACTATCCGAGCCCCCAAGGTCTGAAATAGCCTGCCATCAGAGGTGGTTCAAGCACCTACATTGAACACCTTCAAGAGAAATTTGGATGCCTATCTTGCTGGGATCCTATCACCCCAGCTGACTTCCTGCCCCTCGGGCAGTGGGCTGGACTCGATCTTCCGAGGTCCCTTCCAGCCCTAATGTCTATGAAATCTATGAAATTTCACAACAGAAATGTGCATCAAAAGGGAATATATGTCTTACTCTTTTAAATAACTGATATTTGAATCCCTACAAAAGTGTCAAAATGGAGTTTTGAGACCCAGAACTCTGATATGATTTACATGAATGTGCTTTACACAAAACTGAACAATATGTTTAAAATTACATTATTTCTTTGTTTAAATTTAAATTCTGCTTTTAATATTTTAGCAGTGAAGAATTAAAAAATAACTACATGCCATTGAAACTTTCTGGGCAAATTAAAGGTGCAAGGAAATGCACCTTTATTTTTATCTCTGGAAATGAAAATAAAAAAGATGTCATACACAACCTAAAGTCACTTATTTGTGCATTTTGCCCAGTGGTTTTAACAGCATAATTGCATGCTATTTCAGGAAATGTACAGTATGTACAACCTTAGGTATTGAGCCATAGAATCTTACATTTTCATAAGATTTAGTATATGGAATTATTTTTTGTTGGAAAAATAAGACTGGCTTCCCAGTACTTAGAAGCTTGGCTGTTTTTTTGTAAATATTCATGAAAGGAGGTCAGAGGGTCACCTAGTAGAATTCAGCACTATGCCAGTTTACATAATCTCTAAATTCCTTATAGTTACATTGTATAATTTAGTGTCTGATTTAGTTGTGATTTAGTTTGGTGAGATTTAGTTTGTTATGCCAGATTTATGACATGTTCAATGCTTTAATCATGTTTTAATACATTTATTTACTTGTTTGTTTGTTTGTTTTTAGAAACCTGTGCCTTCTTAAGACATCAAGAAGTGGTATACCAAGTGCATATGTAGAACGAGAAAATGCTATGTCAGGCTTTAGTCTCCTAAATTGTAGAAGATCGTTTCCTGGTAAATATTGCATTACAATATAACCCCCTCCCCAGTTTCTAATGAGAAATTTTATTTATTAAGTATGAATCTAATAATGGAATACTAGTGCATGTAACAATGTGTTGTATTGATATTTGCAATATTAATGCCTTACAGCCTGCCATTCCCACACTTATAATGATACAAACTTTTTGGGAGATGAACTGAACATTACCTATGTTAAGGGACACAAAGCTTGTCAGCTTGTTTGCACAGACATGGTCCGTTGCCAATTTTTTACTTATTTTCCACTTCAGGAATGCACTCAAGAGGGGTAAGATCATTTTATTAACATCTTAAGGGTTGCCTGAAGGAAACATGTAGCATTGTATAAACATTACAACTTAATCCTTAAATTAACTTCATCTACAGAAAATGCAAATGCCACTTAAGAATGTCCTCAAATGGATCTCCAAACAGAATAGTGCATGAGAAAGGAAAGACCTCTGGCTACTCATTAAGATTATGTCAAAGAAAAGCTAACACTGGTAAGTAAAAGGTTTCATGTAATGAAGCTGTGTGGAATTAGGAAAATCTATTGATAGTACAGTGATAGTACATTGACTTAAATGTACATAAACCTGAATACCACAATTACTCACACAAATGCTCTTTATTCCAAGAGCTGTTCCAATGACATTGATCAGTCTGCTTATGGGGTTAGGTACAATTTTGCTAGCATAAAGGTATCAGAATCTGAATCTAAGTTAAATGTATGATTTTAAAACAAAAGAATTAGGCCATGGGCAGATAGACATTTACCCCAGTGAAAGCAGTACCACACAAGTGGAAAAAAGTAGTGAGCTGGCAACATGGATTCCTAAAGTGAAGTAACTATGCCCAACTGGAAGCAACCCTGGAAAGAATGAGGAGTAAAACTCCAGTAATGTAGGTTATGGATTAGGCATCATCTGCCTATTTCCTCCTGGGATAGCAATTTGTTAAAAGCATGCAGGCTGTTACCTGGTAATGTTATGCACCTCTGGTGCTAAAGGATCACTAAAGCATAATCAACCCAGAGTTTAACATGGAATACGCCTCACACCATTTAACTTATCTAAAATCTAACTTTTATTAATACATTAAATATTATCTTGATAACTTCTATAGAGAGAGAAAAACACTTAGCCTAATGGTCTCACCCAATCCCAGATATTACTTCACCACAGGGTCTGGTGGCTAGTCACCATTCCTGAAAATAGAGGGTGGTCATCTGTCAGAAGTCCTTTGGCTGTTGTTCAGTCCAGATGTTACTGGATGACAACACACATTTCCTTGTTGCCTCCCCTTTATGCTTTTCTTTAACTTAGCTCCTCTGATCACTCTTCATTTCTGGATACCATTGATTGATTTCCCTGTGATTATCATACTGCTCATATTTTTATCCTGTCAGCATACTCCTTTGTTCCAACAAACCCATCATATGCACAGATCTTAATTTGGTCTGTCCATCAAAACTGGAAATTCCAAGGGCTCTGCAGTTGGGCACTGTCCAATTGGTCTCTTCTAATGCTTCATTAACATGTTCAATCATGTCATCCCTCTGATTCAGTCAATCAGTGCTAAATTCAGTTAATTTTAGTTGTTACATTTTATACACCTACACTGATAACGCTAGAACATAAGCTTCTTTGAAAGCGAGCTCAAGGCTATAGCTGATAGTGGAGATACAACATGCAAAAGAAAAGTTTAACTAATAATAAGACTATACAACAACTTAAGCAATGGTTAAATAAGGCTGAATATAAAAGAAAAGTTCAAATAACACTGTAATTCACCACTCAAGCAGGTGCAAGTAAAGCTAAATATGACAAGCTACCCTAACAGTAAGGTATAGTAATAGCTGCCTAGTACCTGTGGCTACCCACTGGATACCTGCATGCCTGTGGGTAGCCACAGGCACTAGGCAGAAGTGGATACATTTTCAGTGCTGGGGCAAATTGATCTCTCTATATAGTTTTTAAATCTATTTCCATAGCATGTATGCAGCCATCTAAAGAAAGTATAAGAATTGTTGGAGGGACAGATTCTTCTCCTGGTGAATGGCCATGGCAAGTAAGCTTGCAAGTCAAGTTAACTACTCAAAAACATCTCTGTGGGGGCTCAATCATTAGTGACCGGTGGATTCTAACAGCTGCCCACTGTACCGATGGGTGAGTACTTCTTCTTATAAATGGGTAGAAGAAATTATTTTAATGAAAACAAATGGTATGATTTTAAAGACATGAAATTAAGATTGTCACAGTCACTGGAAATTAGCACCATGCAGTATTTTGTATCACTTCATTGCAATATGCAATATAACTGCTACTGTCTGGTATGAGAAGACACCTCTGATATCCTGTTTTCAGGCACTTGGAAATGATACAGTGTAAATTTCTCAGGTTATTTTTGGCGCACAGATTAATTTTACTGAAAAAAATTCAAATTCTGTGTGGTTATTGGCATAGTGAGCATAAAACAAGTAGTTTTCTCCAAACTACACATTTCTTAGAGTTCTCTATTTTCCAAAGGCATTTGTTTAAGACTTCAAATTTACCATAGATAAATAGACATCAATGAAGATGAGTGTTTTTGCATTATGAAGATGTTTGTGTATAAATAAATTATTAAATAAATGCATGGTGTTTAACAGAAGCAGGATGAAAGTCTGTGGGTTTGCACTAATCTATTAAAGGAAATGAAAAAAATCTCAGAAAAAGTAATTAGAATGGGGCCTTTTAGGTTGAATCTATGCCTCCAGATAATAACTTTTTTCTTTTACATTTTTTATAATTTTTAATGCCAGATTTGTGTTCCTATTAAATTATTACTTCAATTTACATTTCCAATTCTATTTTAGCTAATAAAAAATGTAGCCCATGAAAGTCAGTGGAAATAACCTCATTGACTTTTGTAGTACTTGGATGAAACCCTCAGAGACAAAAATAAGGAAAGGAGAGAATAGAGAAAAATCAGAAGGCAAAGGTAAAAGAAAGATGAGAAAGGATCAGAAGGAATGAGAATGGGAACATTAAGAAGAAGGAAAGCTGATGGGAAGGTGGGAATACAAATGAGAAGGAAAACAGGAGAAAAGAAAAAGCAAAACTGAGGGACAAGAATATCTTTTTAGTCTGACATTCTGACAACACACCCAGGGGTAATAGAAAACATTGGCATATGCACACGGGCTATTTACTAAAGCAAATTTTTGAACCTAGGACTTCTTGTTTCTCTTTTTCCCTTAGATATGAGAGTCCCAACATTTGGCGTGTTTATACTGGCATTTTAAAACAATCAGAAATAAATGAGGATACACCTTTCTTCAGAGTCCAAGACATTGTTATTCACCCTCAGTATGTGATTGCAGAGACTGGATATGACATTGCTTTAATGAAACTTGATAAACCTATGAACTTTACTGGTGTGTAAAACATTATAATGAATTCATTTTGAAAATGTGTGGGGATGATCTAGTGCTTAATCTTTACTAATGTACATGAAACTTGAATAGTTTACTCAAATATACATAAATCGCCCCAGGAAAGACCCACCCAATTTACCTTGTTCAGGAATGTAATGACTTTTACTTGTCTTAAGGGATAGGACAATGTTAGTATAAGATGAGAAAATACAATAGGGATACAAAGAAACTTGTGGTTAAAGATCTTTCTTCTGGCCAAACTAATATTTTAAATTGCATTTTAGATTTCCAGCAGCCCATATGCTTGCCATCAAAAGAGGAAGCAAATACAGTTTATACCAGCTGTTGGGTGATTGGATGGGGTTATGCAAAAGAAAGAGGTACAGACTAATATTTAAACTATGGAAACCTATGTTTGCAAAGATCATCTGGCTTGGTAAAATTTGTCCCTGTGAATGGTTATTGTGTCTAACTACATATTGACAGTGGATCTCATTGTGCCCAATATACAACAAACACCAACAATGAGTGTGCATGAATACAACTGGCAGGAAAGGTTCTTTGAGTAGATGTGATATTTTTTATTAGACCTACTGAGTTGCTGGGAAAAGGTTCTTGGCAAGCTTTCGGGTGCAGTCACCCTTCTTCAGGCATAGGAAATCTCTGCTGGTTACTTATTTAAATTATTAAATAATTTACTAAGACCAGCAGAGACTCCCTATGCCTGAAGAAGGGTGTCTGCATTTGAAAGCTTGCCAAGAACCTTTTTCCAACTACTCAGCTGGTCTAATAATATATATCACATCTACTCAAAGAGCCTTCCCTGCCTATATCCTTAGACCAACACGACTACAACCAAAAACCCAGCATGAATACAACTGTTCTTGTAGATTTATACTGCACAATTTCTTCTAGAAACCTTACTGCTATTACAAAAGTGAGTGAAACTTAACTTCAGTGCATGTTCTGCAGGCAATAGAGAGTGGTGATATATTAAATAAATAGGTTTCAGGATATAGTATATGTGAGATCTCATTGAAAATCAAGCACTTAGGTTATTTATGTTTCTTTACCTATGCACAACTCAAAAATGGAGTATTTTCTTTTCAACAGTAGTCACATTTGTATAAAATCAGATATGAAAAGTATTCATGGCAGTATGCAGAAAGATATGGGTTTGTGATATCTGCAAGCTATGGACATATGATATGAATGTGTGAGTCTGATACGCCTATTTTAGTTTTAAATGTGTGCCTCTTTTGATTTATTTAAACATTCCTGTTTCACATTTATGTATATATGATAAAATGCAGGGTTAGAAGGATGTTTTTAAAGACAATTCTAATATTCATTTTGCTATACTTATGGTTAACATGTAGCTACAATAGTATAACCCCTTCTTTGCTTCAGATTCTTTGGTTCTACCCGTATGTCTTATAAAAAAGGAGGTTTCACACAATAACCAAATATATTCAGTGATAATGCTCAGCAGCAGGAGAATGAAGCAGCTTGGTTATGAAAAAGGATGAAAGGAGCTGGGAAAAGTTTACAGAGGGGATAGGATAATAGAAAGAGGAGTTCTCACCCTCTAGCTAGGTTGTGTAATGTATGGAGTTGTTTATGGTCCACAGGGTATAGTATAGTGCTGAGTGGATGGTGCTTGGTTTTCCCTATGCTTCTGGGCTTCCCTGGTTGCCATGTGGGGCTGGGAAGGACATTTTCCTCTAACTTTTGCTACGGGTGTCAGTATGTTTTTCACCTTCCCTAAAAGCATTGGCTTAATTGTAGATAAGAGTTCAGGCCCCACTGGGGGCAGAATGGAGGCCCATGTTGTGGGGGCATATGGCCAAGGTATGTCTGAGGATGCCTGAGGCCAGGTTTAGGCCAGAGGCTGAGTGTGGCCCAGCTAAGGAGCCAGGGGAGTAATAGTGGATCTAGATGCCATCTGTGAGGCATGGGACACAGTGCAAGGTGAGGCTTGGAGCTGTGTATTTCACTTTTGGCATCAGGGCAATAAAATGGGCAGCCTCCCACCTACAAACAACTATTTAATTCCAACAAAGGCATGGGAGGTGAGTTAGGTGGGCAGACTGCCTTAGACAGGTGGGCGGGCCAATGAAGGGACCGGCCTTGGGACAGCCTCCTGTCACATTCTGCATCAGATCCCAATGCAGCTGCACTTGCATGTCTACCAGAGGCCGTAGAGCTCACACTGATGGTAACAGGGGCACCTGGTACATTCTCAGATGCATAACCAGAGGCATTTGTGAGACATGACATATGATAGACTTCTCCTTTTGCCCCTTGTCCTCTGGGGTGGGCACTGAACTTTGACCTGCTATGATTGCCTCTTTGTCTGGCTGTACAATTACTTTTGATTTCTCCCATGAACACAATCTGATCCACAGTTCAGTTTGAGTGGGATCTTGCTAGGTCTTTGTAATAACTCTTCACTGGGATTCCTATAGCTTGCTGTATTTATTTTGATACTCATTCTGTACTTTTGTTACGTATAGGTCAAATAACAGATATTCTTCAGAAGGCTAATATTCCTCTAGTATCAAAAGAAGAATGCCAGTCAAGATATCAAGAGCAAACAATAAACAACAAGGTTATATGTGCTGGCTATAAAGAAGGTGGAAAGGATGCTTGTAAGGTAATGGAGTAATAAATACATGATCATACATTCTGCATCATCTTTAAAAGTATTATCAACATTTTAAGAAGAATATATGGGTAAAAAATAACTATTAGCTGAATTCCTACTTCCATCTGTCAAAAATAAAAAAAAATGAAGTCTAGATGGAATCTTTTACAGATAACATCCAGACAAAAATACATTATGTTTTTGGGCTCAGTAGTGGAAGATTCCAGGAAAGAGGACCTGAAGAAGGAAAATTATCTCCACAATTACCTCTAGACTTTTCCGCTAGAGGGTCTGAATCTGTTGAGTCAGTGAACTCATCTGCAGAACCCTTCAGAGAAATCAAGGCAGTGTGTACTTTCTTCCCTACATACTAGAATCTTCTTTCCCCAGTTCCCAAGCTGTGACTCCCATGCTGAGATGCCATGATCACCCAGATAACTTGTGAGGCCTATTTTATTTTTTCTCTCACCAAGTGATTTATGGGCAGTTACCATGATTAAATGGCATGACTGTCTGTAGAATGGAAAGCAACTGTGGGCACTTGAAAGTTCCTTTTTCAATTCAAGAGGCATGTATCTCTTGCAGAATTGATCTACCACATTTTTTTCTGCAGCTCAGCACTGGTACCCTTTCTCTTATAAAAATGCTAATACTTCAGGTAAATAAAAAATGAATAGTATAAGTAGGGTGGATATCAGTGAGAATATAAATTAGTCACATTTACCCATTGTCAGCCATTAAAAGAGTAAAGCAGTAGCCCCTTAGTATATCACCAATCCAAAAGCAAAAAAAAAAAAAAAAAGGGAACCAAAAATGTTAAAAAAAAAAAAAAAAAAGTGAACCAAAAATGTTTTTCCAGTAATAAAGAAATCCCCCTGAAATGTAATTTTCCCACTTATTAGTATCGTATATAGCATTATGTGGAGGCATGTTAAAAAGCCTATGCTGTGCAAACCAGAAGGGACAGTATGAATAATTGTTGATCAGATAATCAGTTTGGGAGTGAAGGACTAAAGAACTGTCAAGCTGATGGGTGCTGGTCATGCTTAAAATCCAGAATGCCAAATGGAAATCTGTGGGGCAGTTCTATCTGGTAGACTCTCCACCGTGCCACTGCCACTAGGCAAAACTGTCCCATGCACTCCAGTTTTGCATAATGTAATGCAGACAGGCCTGATTTTCTCCTGCTTCTCAGTTTGGCTCCAATAGGCTTCCTGAAAATAGAGGCAGGCCAGAGTGTTCCATCTGTTCTACGTGCCTCAGTTTCTGGGAGACAATGTTCAGGGTTGGACCAGGAAGGGCTGTGGCAAGAGAAAATGTCCTGCCACCGCTGCTTTCTAATCTGGCTCTGCAGGACGTGTGTGGCACAGTGGGGGGAGTATAATGTCTCATCAAGTGTTAACATAATTAATAACAATCACAATGTTTATATTATAGTATACATAATATAGTCATGTAAGTTTTTTTAAGTGGGTGCTGCTAAAGTTTGAAAAGTTTTGGAGGGTTGCCTTGAATCTAAAGAAGTTGAGATCCACTGCTCTAGCCCAATGATCCATTGCTACAACTGTAGCAATATAGAGAGTAAGTAGAACTCAACTAAGAGGAGGGCTCCTGGGTTCTGGTCCCTAATGAGAATGCTTTCATTTATCAGGTGCATCGTTGAAAGAGAAATACTAACTGGAACCATCCCTTTCACCCTTTTCTTATATGATTCAGGGAGACTCAGGTGGGCCATTATCATGCAAACATGAGCAAATTTGGTATTTGGTGGGCATTACCAGCTGGGGTGAAGGATGTGCTCGCCCAGAACTACCAGGTGTTTATACAAAAGTGGCTGAATATGCAGAGTGGATTCTAGAAAAAACCACGTGATATAAAAAAGAAAACTTCCGGGAACTCACTTCATACTTACATGATGGCATGAAATGATAATCCTAAAGGAACTTTGTGAAATACATTCAAGAACATTCATACATTTAGCCTAGAGGACAGCAGACATTTTTAAGAAAACAGAAAAGGAAGAATGAACTGTACAATTGTGTGCATTAAAAAGAGTAATACAAATAAAATCCAGTTTTATAGACATTGATGTGAAGTTATAAAGAATGTGGTGTAAACTGTTGATTTATTTCATCTCTGTAAACATGTCAATAAACATTCTTTTGGACCTGATTTTCTGTCTCATTGAAGCTGACAAGAGCTTTGTCTTTGACTTCCTTGATAACACGATCTCACTCTCTATTGTAAGAAAGAGGTGAATGAGTGAAGATGAATTCAATTAAAGCATAAAATGTTCAAAACCTTCTTGGCTGATATTACCTCATCAAGTGTCCTCCAGTCATTAGCCCCCAGAAAGAATTCAAAACATCAAAGTATTATTTATTTTCATCTCCTTTCATGTATTATTGAGATTGTTGATATAGATGTTTAACAATGGTGGATGAGAGAAAGTTAGTAGGAGAAGGGATTATTTAGCGTAGGTGATTTCTTTTACAAGTTAAGCACTATTTAGGGTGACACCTTGCAGGCACTGGGGTCTTGGATAATTAAATTATTTTTCACTGGCTATAAAACATAGATAAAATATGGTCTCTAGTATTTAAGTTACTATTCCTGAAATGTTGCTAAACACATGTAGCTGTTCTATGATTTTGGATGGTGTGGGGTTAGCAAAAAATGGAAATTATTTAATCTATCTGAGGGAGGCATAAATATTGACTATTTGGGGGTCATGGCAATGAGGGATTATTAGAGAGTAAAAAAGAAGCCAAACAGGCATCAGCCAAAACCTGAATCCTGAATAGCAGAACCCACCAATAGTTTTCCCATCTATTGTTCTGATCTCTACAGAAAATGTTGTGATTAGAAAAAGAACTCAGGCACTCCTATGTTGTGGCATAATTAGAAGGTTGATTGGAACCGTTCCATTAAGAGCCGTCCAGTGTTGTTTTCTTTTAACATACTATATTGTAGCGAGATGCTCTGTAGCTAATCATTACATAAAGAAGAATCTTTGTGTCTTAATGAATTAAACACATCAGCATTACTTTTTTCTCTTTGCACAAACATGTTTTGTGTCACAGGCAACAGATACCAGATGTATTTAACTGTCAACATCATGGCAAACTACGGTAAGAATATACAGCAAGAAAAGTGTTGTTTTCAATTTTCCAAGAGACGATATTTCATAAATGAGAGGGGAGTTTGTCATAGGAGTCATCATTACCACCATGAGGAAGTGCTCTCTCAACACTGCTATTATGGTGCTTCTCTGAAAACATAGTGATTAGAAGACAGAAGTTGGAACTAGACTCCTCATTTTCTTACAGAGAATAACTTCTTAGGCAAGTTACTGATTTCCTCCTTTCCTCAGTTTGCCTATGTGGAAAAAAAGAAGGTTTCCTAATTTTTTTCATCTTGTATCTTATGTTTGATACCTTTTTTGTATTTGGCAAGTAGCCTTGTTGAAATCAATGAAAACACTCATAAAATATGGAGCTAATGAGAGGTTTTAGGATCTGGTCATCAGTTTGTGTTTTCCTAGTGCCTTGAGGTCCCCAGTTGAAAGCCACTTTCAGTAGATTAAGACTTAGAGTATTCAGCCATGCAAAATGGGGAATATTGTGTGGGAAAAAACCTCTGCCCTCCTTTCACTGTGGCAAGTCACAATATGAACAAGATCAAACAGAAGATTGAAGAGGAGGCTTTATTCTCACTTTCTCCACTCTCTGAGCAGGCAGTGGATCATGGCTCTGCCCCAGCTCTGGACCCCACTGTCACTGCCACAGAAGATCCCAGCAGCTCTCTGCTCAGCCACATGCCCTACCAGTGCTACTGGGGTCGGTCTCCATGGACCCTCACATTGCACTCTCACAGCCCCACCACTGTTGGGGTCTCCATGGAAACTGGCCACAGTGATGCTGTTGGCTGGATCTACCATTTTGCCTACCCCTGGCCTAGAATGGCCCAGCTTAAGGTTTCATAGATGCTATTTACCACCAGGAAAGGCAAGATACTTGTTCTGGATGCCAAGGTAGTTGTATTACATTTTCTTTTGCCCTGGCTATAACTGAGAATGTCTCTTCCTCAGGTTGAGAATATAGATAACATGGCTAAGATATGATGAAGATTACACAGAAAAGGAGTAGCTGTTATTATTTATGGGCATTCTTATAAGATAACCAGAGTTGGAGACATTTTTCCCATCAAAAGGAAAGTCTTTGAAAATTCTCTTTTCAGAAAATAATACTTTTTTCAAATAATAGCAGTGGTACCATGGGAAAAGAATCAGAAATGCATAAGGGTCAGTATATAGAAGGAGTAAGAGTTCTAACAACTTCAATCAGGAATGAGAAGCTTCAGACAAATTTAGAATACAAGCTGCGATTTCTCTGAAAATGAAGTTTATATTGCAGAGATGGAGCGATTTCTATGCTAATCCTTGTTAAAGGTGAGGAACTTGCTTGGTATATGGGAAGCAGAGTGGAGAATATTAATGAGAGCAAAAAACTTTAGCCAGCAGAACAACAAAATCCAACTTTTTTTGATAAAAAAATGAGCAAAATAATGGTCAGAGGCATAACTAGCTGGGTTTGCACCCTGGGCGCTGCTGATGGAAAGCAGGGTTGGGGAAGAGGAGAGGGGAGGTGCTGCAGAGCATAGAAGTGGGGTGCTGTAATAGCCATGGTGTTTATTAATACATTAGCCAATGGCCCATCAGGAATGACGGGAGGGGGAGTGGGCAGGGACAGAACCCCATGCCCCCACCCAGTCCAGGCCCGCTCCCCCTTTACCTCCTGCTGCTTGAGGTCCAGGCCCACTCCCACCCTCCCCGCCACAGCGGCAGGGGGAGGAGAGGAGTGGGTCCAGGCCTGATGCGGGGGAGAACGGGGCCCGAGGGTGAGAAGAAGCTGGCGTGCGGCGGCGGGGGGAGCGGTGGGCCTGGCTCGCCCCAGCCACAGTGGGGAAGAGGAGGAGCGGGCTTGGAGCTGACAGGGGGGAGATGGGGTGGGGGAGGAGTGGGCCCAGGTCCGAGGGGGGGAGGAGGCCCGCTGTTCCCTCCTCACCGCCACAGCAGGCCAGCTTCTCCACTCCTCCTGCCCAGTCCTCCCCCCTACTCCCTGCAGCAGACCTAGGCCTGGGCCTGCTCCTACCCTCCCCCCACCACCGCTGCATCAGCCCAGGCCGGCTTATGCCCCCCCTGCCATGGTGGGCCCACTCCTCCCCCCACCCCTCATGCCAGGCCTGGGCCCACTCCCCCTCTTTCTTTTGGGGTCTGGACCCGCTCCCGCGTTCTCCACCGTGGCAGCAGGGGGAGGGCAAGAGCATGTGCAGGTCCGTTCCTCCCTTTCCCACCACTGTGGCTGGCCCTGAAGGTGCAGACAATGGAAGGAGGGAGGGGCAGGCCAAGGCCAGTGCCAGTGGCCTGGCCCCCCCGCAGCATCCTGGCCCACGCCTGCCCCTGAGCCACCGCCGTTATCTCCAAAGAGGGGGGGGGGATGGGCAGCTCTGGTGGCCTTGCCCTCCCCCTGCTCCCTTGTCACCACCTGCAGGGAGAAGGGCGGGGGGGGATGAGGCCAGCTGTGCTGGTCTTGCCCCTCTACTCCATCCCCTGTGTCCCCACCATCATGGCAGAGGGCTACCACATGTCCAAATGCTTCTTCGCACTCTTATTGGCTGTTTGTCAGCCAATCAGACCATGAATAAAGCATTACACAGACATACAGACAGACAGACTTAGGCTTTTATAATGTTAGAATAATAAAGATGCCTTAAGTTGCTTAAGTCTCTAACCTTTCTATTAGGGATCCTTTGAACTATGAATTTCCATCAGTTAACTCCATTTTTCATAGATGAATTCCATCTTCAGCTTATAAATGTTTTAAATTAACAAACCTTGTGTTTTAAGACTTGTGACTGGTACTTATACAAACTTCCTAAAAATATTCTTAGAAGTCCATGATTCCTGCCTGCATTTACTTATTTAGCATTTTCAATTTTTATGGAAACTCATGTGATTAAAGCCCACATTTTTACCACACTGGTGAAGCTTGTTTAATCGTAAATCCACTCATTCTCATGGTAAGGTGACATCTCTAAGATGTACAAGTCCTAGGGCAGTGGTTCCCAAACTTTTTGGTTTCAAGGCACCCTTCTTTAGAGTGAAGGCACTCCTTGCCTGAAAGGTAGCTCTTAGCTTTCACTCATTTTTTGACTATGGAAAAGGAATAGAGCAATTCTTCTGTTGTAGAGAACTCAGAAAGACCACAACACATCACAATTTTTGTGACGTTATGGATTCCTATTTAATATCTTTGGGTTTATCGTATGGTTGAGCATTGCTCTAGGGCATTACTACACTCTATACTTCTATCCTATAGACTACTGAATTCTAATAATATAAACGCCTTAGTTTGTATGTCTGTCTGTCTGTCTGACCATAACACTTTATTCGCACTCTGACTGGCTGTCTCAGAAGGAGAGCTTGATTGGGGAACATCAAGACCATTAACGAGAAGAGAGGGTTGTTAACGTCTGTGGAATGAAGAGTTTAGAAAGGATCAGGTAGATTATAATGAGTCATGATGAGTCAGCAGGGCACTGGCCATAGGCTGGGTGAGGGGCCACTTTTCCCCATGCTTAGCACCAGCTTGTAACCTACCCCACTACCAGCCTGGCAGTGGGGCTGGGTGACAAGGTGGTGCTGAGCATGGGGGGCTGGAGAAATCAGCCCCTTCTCGCCCTATGCCCAGCACCCCATGCTGCAGCCACTCACTGACTGCCTGGGGCTACCTATGCCTGCTTCAGACAGCCCCGCGCAGGCTGCGAGTGCCTGTAGCGTGGGATGCCGGGCGTGGGGTGGGAAAGGAGCTGCTTTTCTCGGCACAGAGAAGGAGCCCAGGGAAAAGCTGAGCATGGGGCAGAAGTGGCCCCTCCCACACCCAGTGCCCCACACTGCAGGCGCTCACGGCCTGTGTGGGGCTGTCCGGAGTGGGCACAGGCAGCCCCACGTGGACTGCAAGCAGCTATAGTGCAG